GACGTCGACGGTTATCCGCAGATGGCGAGCGGACTCTGACCGCTACAGACCGAACCCTCGGTCGGGACCTCGGGAGGGCTAGGTCTCTCTGACGTCGACGGTTATCCGCAGATGGCGAGCGGACTCTGACCGCTACAGACCGAACCCTCGGTCGGGACCTCGGGAGGGCTAGGTCTCTCTGACGTCGACAGTTATCCGCAGATGGCGAGCGGACTCTGACCGCTACAGACCGAACCCTCGGTCGGGACCTCGGGAGGGCTAGGTCTCTCTGACGTCGACAGTTATCCGCAGATGGCGAGCGGATTGCGTCCTCGCCAGACTGAACCCTCGGTCGGGACCTTGGGCTGGCGCCACTCGTGGGCGAGATGGGCCCCGGCGGGGCGCGCTTCGCTGGGCGACCCGGGGTTGAGGGAGGGCTCACGATATGCCGGGAGTGTGGTGGGGTTGCAGGGGGTGAGGACGCCGGGAGAGATGGCAGCTCATGTCTCACATCTGGGCACGAGTTGTAGTGTTCCGAGCGCGCTGCACGTCCAGCAGCATCAAGGTCTGAGGTAGCTGGACGGACAGCCGTTCCAACAGATTTGTGCCCTGCCGGCGCAACCACTAGGGGTGCCGGTGGGACGACGCCGACTCTTCGGTGCAGGCATTCACCGTCGGGTTTTTTGGGGCGAACTGCAGAGGTTTCCCCAGTTACCAGTCGGCCAGGACCCCGAGCGGTCACCCCGGAGGGTGGCGGGGGACGTCCACCGCCACCCCCGATGGCGGAAGAAGGGGAGGTGGCCCGGCTGCTGCGGGCTCAGGTAGGGCGGACAGTGGCCGCTGTGGGGGTGGGCGTGCAGGACAACCGCGCTTGCCTAGAGTCCAGTACGCTCCTCCCGGTCTGGTTCCCCGTTTCGGACGCTCTAGCACCACTCTGGGAACCCCAGCGCTCCGGGGATGATCCCGGGAGACCTCTGGGAGAGCCGCTTCACTCTCTGCCGATGCGCCTGATGGTGGACAGGCTGCGTTGCCAGACGCGTTGGAGACCACGCTCGTCATATCGAGACATGACGGCGACTTACCTTGGGAGCGGAACAGCTGTGTAAGGCAGTGAGCTAGAATCGCTTTTGAACTAGGGTAGGAGTGAAAAATTCCATCACAAAAAAACACCGCATGGGGGTGAAAAATTCAATTTACAAAAGTTGGAACTTCAGTCCGTGAGACACGCTCCAGCAAGCAGACATACATTTCAAGCTGGCATGGACGTAATATTGGAAGTATGACAATTTTTATCTTAGGTCATTACAGTGAAACAGATAACATAACAGAAAAATAATTTCATACTGATGAGGTGACCATCAAAATCTATGTAACACCAATGTTTTGATACCGTACTTTACACTTCCGTTTACAAGGATTTTTTAAACACAAAACAAAGCAAAGCAATTTGACAGCAAAAACAACAACAAAAAATCGACGACCATGATGCATTCAAACAAAGAAGCCTTGGACTCTTGCACACCAACACATCGCCACATCAAATGCCATGGCCATACTCTGACTTCTGTTAAAATAGGGTCAGGGAGCATAAATAATATACCACTGTGTCTTGCAAACTACCAATGCTTATTTCCGTGAAAGTAACCAAGGTAAGCTTAGCGTAAAGAAGCCGTACCTTATCTCATCTTGTCTAGCCTATCACAGCAGCATTTGTGTGTCACTGATTCTTACAAAATTTTTGCTGCCACTTGATATGCGAGTAACCAACTTAGCCTAACATAGAGAAGCCAATATGCTCTCCAAGGAGCAAAATGTCTTGACGTACCCCACCTATTTGACAGCAGCACTTGTGATAAAAACATGACACAGGTTATTTTGGTTGGTTTGAACTTGCGTTTTGGTTCCATTCATTTGTGTCCGCTTGTTGGCACCAGACGAACTTAACAACATACACGTTAACACCCCTCAAATCACTTTGAAGGCATGGCTCAAAAAACGGTCCCTCTCCTCAAAATGCAACATAACTTACAGATCGTCACAAAACCAGTTTTGCTGTTTGGCTTTCCAGCTGGAGCAAATGCATCCATTGAGGTTTGGCTATTCATATCTAATTACTTGGAGTTTGAGACATTGGCTTCACATTATAAATGGGATGGTCTATTTGTTAAACAAAAACAATATCTACATCATACTGTAATTGCTACGCAGCTTAGAGAACTCCTGTGTTAACAAATATAGTGCACATTTACAGTACAGTTATTTGCCAGTCAGTGAAGTGTCCAAATGAATAGTACTTAACGCACTGTGTCGGATCTGGCTGGTAGAAACGGACCGGTAAGAGGGGAAAACCCAATTCGCACCCTCTCTGGAAGCAGACATCAATTAAAAGTGAGCAGAAGGGCGCCCGTGGGCACCAGCTCTACACCTACCCTCTTCATGTGTTCAGCGTTTGTCACTCCTTGGCTCGCCATGCCTTCGACGATTTCACCCTGGTTCATTCCCATTGCTCCCTCCTATGCCGCAGTGCTCGCCCTCTCATTTCTATTAATGCCATCGTGTCCAGGCATTAAAACAGAAGACAACACGCTTCCCGATCTGTTCGAGGGATGCAATAAGTCGCGTGATCTGGTCAATTAAGATGTGTTGTTTTTAAGTAAAAGATGGCTAGGATACTGTTCAAGGAGTCAGAGAGAACAAGAAACATTGTAGCTTATCCATTGGCAGAAGCATATTATTTCGACGCGCCTGTTCCCCGCACACCATCGAGCCCAATAAGGGGATGGCGCAGCGGTGTCCGCTATGCCGCCAGGACTACGGACGCGTTGTATGCGAGCCAGGGCCCCAAAAGTGCCGCCGCGGAGCCGCTGAGTACGGGTCCGCGGGAGCCGGCGTCCCAGCTCACAAAGGGCTGAACAGGCACCTCCTCGAAGTTAGTCAGGGCACGACCCCACCGCTGAGCCTGAGGCAAACACTGTATCCGGCGACACCCCCTCGACACCCATCGCCTAACCCGCTTGGCTCCTAGCCGGTGCCGTGCAAGGACGGCACCTGGCAAGCCGGTTACCCGCGTGCGGGGTTAACACGGGGCACCCGCAGGTTGGCAAATCCAGGCCGAAGGTGAGTGTTGGTGGACGCCAAGACTGATCCGCAAGGCGGCCACCAAGCACTCAAGACCCTTTTATCGCTCCTGTGAGACACGACAGGGCACGGCAACCCCAATAAAACTGACAGGTGAGGCCGAGAGGTTGTCAATCCCTACTCCGACCGAGGTCAGGGCCCTTGTGGGAGGCACGTGGCTCCTCTCCTTTGGCCGGAAGGGGCACTTTACGAGCGTCCCTAACCACCCGCAGAATCATTGGAATCACACAATCCCCCTACCATGGAAAGGTGATGCTTCACGGGGAGGATTTGATATATGGCATAAACTCAAATACTGCATGACTAATGATCTGACGAGGTTATCTAGGTTACCTGACGTAGCGGTCGATAAAATAACCAATGTGCCAGTTCCACAGGAGAATCCAGAAATTTGCAAGGCATGTGATTGTGATCAGAGGCGCGAATGGCGATCAGGGGATTAGTGTGTGTGTGCATGTGCATGTGCATGTGCATGTGCATGTATGTGTGTGTGCACATGTGTGTGTGCATCACCCATCCAACCATTCACACATCATTGCAATACAGCACCACCACTGCGATCTTTTAACATCTTCCTGACCAAAAAGATTTTGCCAATTTAAAGCAAAAATTTAGGGCATTTCACCCCATATCCCCAAGAGCAAAATTATCTTGGCCTTAACAGTGATCACGATAACCACAAAAAAGACGAGGTTCTGCCACCATGAGGGCGGTCAAGATACCCTTTACAAGAGGAGGGACAAGATGGCTGAGGGCCAGATGACATGGAAAGGGGCATGAAGTGGTGAATAGGCAGCCTTTTCAAACCTTCACAATGCCCATGGGAAGTGAGGAAGATATGCCACAGTCAAGACTGATGGTATTTATCAACATAAGCTGATATTCATAGCACCCACTGTGGGCATCCATTTCCCATGGACTGAAGTGACATGAAAGCTCATTTATACTCCCTTAAACTCACTTTAAGTGTTAATGTTGACCTTTCATTGTTGGAACATTTTGAGCCACCTGACAATTTACAGACAAACTAGCTGTACCTTACCTCATATGTAAACCAAAAGCATGCACATACTCAAAAATAGATAAGATGGATAATATGAATCAAACAATAATGGACCTAGGAGAGGGCACCCATCCCTACACTTCCCCACCCATGTTCCAACCCTACACTTCCACAAATGATGGTGATGAATGGTTTAAGAGCACAGTTATGTGATTATATAAGCTGGCAATGACCACTGTCTAGCTGCAGTTAGAAATATATGGCACCTGTGCAGCATGCAGATAGGGAATTCTGGAGGCACTCATTGCCACCATGCATTATGTAACATGACATCCACTATTTCCATGGATGAGAACAATGAATGCAAGACTTTTGATTCTTCTAATATGACTGAAGTGCCATAAGCCAAAGGGGTGCCACAATGGAAACATATTAGCAGTGCTGCACTCCAGAACACCATTAGCATTGAAGCAGGGTAAGAGACCAAGGTCAGAAGACCCAGAAATGCAGTGGTAAGGCCTACTGCTCTCTTGCTTTTCAGAATTTGAGTGCAATATCTAACTTGAAAGTGATGTGAAGCAGGGGTCTACAAAAACAGGCATTACTATCAACTTTTTTCATCATCTTTGACTTTGAGTGAAAACAAAAATGTACACAATGTAAAACAGAACATGCCCACAATCTATTGGCACCAATACCACTTAATATGTTATGTGAGATGAGATTATAATGCTGCAAAATTAAATCAGACATGTTACATACCCACCAATAAAGTTTGTGGATTTAGAATAAGTCATGTTCAAATGTTCAAGTACAATGCAACAACATGCAAAACTGTTGTAATCGAGCGCAAAACTGAGCAAAGTTTTTCCCTACTTACTCGACGCATGATCCAACCCCGGTGATGCACGAGTGCAGAAATGACACCGACACGTTTTTCCATTTCCATGCTTGGATTTGCGACTTTCGAGCCGAAACCGGAACCAACAGGCTGCTAATGTGACTGGCACAATGAAAGAAAAGCCATCCAAACGCTACCCAACAAGGCCAGCCTATGAAGTCCATCATCACGAGGGCGGCGCGCACGCCCACTTCCGACACCGCAAACGACGCCGCCCTCGCCACCACGGCTACTACAGGCAATTGCAGCCCGTGACTGTGTGGACCGTTGAATAAGTGCTACAGGTTGTATAAAGCAAGGTTTTGTTTTCCGAGGGAAATCGCAACGAATCCAGGAACCTCCGAGCAAATCCAGTCATGACGTCATTGGTATCGGCGATGGACCATTACGGTCGGACGTGTCTCACAACAAATGGGATGCAGGGGTGTCAATTTTTATAAATGATTGGCGGTAAAGCATGGCGACAACCAACCACCTCCCATTTTGTTCTGGTCAGATTTATTCCAGTTTATTTTGATTAATCGCAACATATGTTTTATATCTTTGTATAATTTATAAAAGTATTCGATTTCAGCAGTATAGAAGTCATGCTAGGCTGGATCCAGGGAGCAGACACCTGGCGCACGCGTCTCTTCTGATCGGCGCGTTAAGGTGCCCCTTTAGACGGTACCTAAGGGCGTTGATAGCGCTCTTCTATGGCGGTTATTGGAGGCATCACGCATTTTGGTTGTGGGGACAGAGACGGGGGACTTAAGTCATCCCCACATTCCAGAGCTTTTCGCTTTAAGCTTTTCACTTTTTCACCAAGAACAGTCGCAAACGAAAGTAAAGGGGATACGAGAGGACGAAAACGAAATTTGAATTATTGAAAAACTGTTTTGAGGAATATTAAGCTTCATTATGCCGTACAGGGGTCATCCGCCATTTCCGGAGACCTATACGCTCAATTGCATATTTTCGGTTACTCAGCAGCCCTTCATGTCGGTCTCGGTTAGCCTATCAACACACTCACGGGGCCCCTCGTTTTGCCTCCTCGGTTACACTGGATTGTTTGGGGACTCTGTACATAGCTCTTGGTGATTGAATTTAGGGTCCTAAGCTCCTGTCTGGGGCCATCTGACAATCTGCTCGGTTGCACTCCATCTTTCGGGGGTCCTCTGCATTAGGTTTTGAGTACCCTTGATTTGAATGAACTATGCTTTTGTCGAGCGTCTTCTGATAAGCGGCTCGTGAACATCCATTCGCCTGGGGCCCTATCTGCGTAACTCAAACATTGCGTTTTGGGGGCTTGTTATTTGAATGGAGGGCCCATGGTCTTGAGGGGACCCTGTGTGACCTGCTCTGGCGCACTCGATCATTCGGAGACCCTCTGTGTTGTGTGGTGGGTATTTCGTATTTGAACGGAAGGCCCTACGCCCTTGATGGGAGCCCTATCTATTAACCTGCTCTGACACACTCGATCACTCCGGGGCCCTCCATGTTGTCTTGAGTACTTTTTACCTGAATAGATGACCATATGTTCTTTGTGAGCCCCATGTGGAGGGGGGGGGGGGGGCGGGAGAGCACCGGACCATATCCCATGGACCATGCAGAGGGAACCCATAGGCTTCGAAGTGGCGGATAACCGGCTGAGCGGACACAGTTTTCCACGCAAAAAAAAAAACATTGGACGTGCTTGCGCCTGCAGACGACGTAGAACGACTGCAAGCGTAAGTAAAAAAAAAAACTTCAAAGCAAGCAAATTTAAACTTTTGCTGTTTGAAAGGGTGGTGGTTGAAGGACATTCTGGGGCGCATTATGCTTACCAGAGGCCTTACGCTGTTGCCCCGACCACATAAGTCCGCTTGCCTGGTCAATCTGATCGCCATGGAACCTTCCACGTTACGTTTGATCTCTTAACATGTTTTCATTGTTCGTACATGATCTCAACGTTGCTGTTGGCACACTATCTGTTTCTATGCCCGAGCACCCTTGATCAATCAGGGGCCCTCTGGTGATTCTTCCCATTCGCCCGAAAGGCTCTATACGCTTTTTCTGTGACCCCATATGTCAGAGTACTCAGCTGCTCAAGAGCCTTTCATATTAGTTTTGGGCCTTGTCATATTAGTCCTGCTCGGGTGGCCTTGTGATGTTGCTGGAGCTCATATAAGGTAAGGCACCAAGACACTAGATACTCGGGGCTCTCTTCTTCGATCGTGGGCCCTTTCACTTTGATCATATTTAGGGAGGACTCTTCACTTCTATTGGGCTCTTTTTGTTAACCTGGTCGGGCACTTTTTAATCGCACAGGGGTATCAATTCATGGTGTTGCATAATTCCCCTTTACTTAGAGTGTCCTGTGCTCTGGCCAGGGCCTCAAATGTCGGCCTGCCGGGGCACTGCCGATCGTTTACGGGCCCACCACGCTGGTCTAGGGTTATTTTCACCCCGAGGACACTTTACTTCTTGACGGGAGCCTCTTTGTTGGCCTCGCAAGGCACCCATGATTGGTCAGGTTCCGTCCCTGTTAGCCTTGGTGCCTTAGCCTCAGAGTAGCAGTCGTATATGCGCCGATGAATTTTTACGCGAAACTATCGAAGGTAAGTTTATGTGCCTCCGACGTCGCAGGTGTCATTTTCCCGTGGTGTTTGAGCGTTTGACACTTATCAAACTTGTGCATCACGTTCTTAACATATTTTGAATGCTAGAATATTTTGCACTCGCTTATAACACATACAAAATTCTACGGCAGTTATCAGCCATCAGCTGATTACATCGCCAAGCTGGCTAGCCGTAAGTAAGCAAGTCATCGAGTCTGTGCTTGGTTTCGATGATATTTTGCAGCCAATCTGAGTTCATTTGCCGGCTTTTGCGAAACACGTAGTCTCAAAACAACGAGATTTAACGTCATCTGGAGGAAATGAATGAGCTCCATGTGTGTGCATGCGTAACACGCCTAGCTTTAGCACAGAAAGATGGGTTCTCACATTTGATATATATATATATATATATATATATATATATATATATGTGTGTGTATATATATATATACGCTATTTACAATTTATCTTAAAATCTAATGGCCGGAATGCGATATATTTTTGGAGGAGGCCCAAAACCCTGGGGGGCCCACAACGTTGCGTGCCCCTCCCTCTTGACGGATCCTGGATCCGCCCCTGGGGGTCAGGGCCCTCACAAAAGAATACAAATCCACACCCGTGGGCACGCAGGTGTGTCACTCAGTGGCGCAGGCACGGGAAGGGGTACAGGGTGCAAGTGTCCTCCCCTTAGGTTCGATTTGAAGGCCCGAAAAGCCAGCCAGAGGTCTCATTCAGGGGCGCGGTCCGCATGGCCGGGCACTCAAATGCTAGCCAGAGGGCCTTGCGCACTGGTGAGCGGCCCATAATCGCACTGGTCAGCGGTCGATAATGACCTTTATTTTGGTAATACACCACCAGCAACGCAAAGTCGTCTGGGTGGCGGCATGGGCCTAAGGGCCCATTTCCCACGCAGGTGGAAATCCGGAGCCAGCGATTTACATGGCGCGGTGTCCCACGGCGCCTAGCAGGGCACCTGTGTTGCCAAGAGTATCCGAGTCGGCCAGAGACAGTGTTTGAGAAGGCCCAAAGAGCCTAGAGGGCCCCACCAGGTTCGACGATCAAGGGTCGGCTGAAGGGTCTACTGGCATAAAGGGTTGGTCAGAGCCTTATTCAGCGGCCCAGACCTGCGAAGACGGACCCTCAAATAACGGACACAGGGGCCAATGCGCCGATCGGGGATCTCCTTTGTCGATATGGGCCTATATGTCGGTCAGGTACCACCCTACCACATAGTCGGCTCCGTGTCGGTATGGGCCTAAGGACCCATTCCCAAGCAGCTATAAACCCGCGGCCAGTGATTTCCACTGATCGGAGGCCCTGTATCTGTCAGCAGCTCACAGCGCCTAACAAAGGGCCCTGTGCTCGCGAGGGCCCCGTTACGGTAAAGGGAAGTTCGATGAGGCCCGAAGAGGGGCCCGGGCGACCCACCATAACCGACTATCAAAGGCTTGGTTGGGGGTATAAGGGCCCGAAGGACTGGCTGTGGACCGCATAAAGACTCGCGGCCAGTAGGGCATGACCGGAACTATTATTCAGAGGTCTTTTTGCACACTTTTAGCAACCCCTGTGATAATGCGGATATTTTAGTCGGTTAGAGGTCACGAACACCAAACATTCGGCTCCATGTCCGTCTGAGCCTTTGAGATCCCTTCCCCAAGCAGACACGAGACCGGGGTCCGCGATTTGCAGTGTTAGGGGTCCCTGACACAATGAGGGGCCCCTATGCCGGTTAGAGGCCACAGTGCTGAACAGGGCATTATGTGTCAACAAGGGGCCTCAAGTCGGACAAAGGAAGATTTGTTCTACAGGGGCGGGGAAGGGAGCTCGAATGGCAGAGGGTCTCCCGCGTTGGTCGGGGCCCTCTGACAACTGAGGGAAACAAAAGCTTATGATAAGTGCTCATATTGAGGCAATAGAGGAGTCCGGTGTCAGTCAGGGACCCCAGTACCTAACGGTGGGCACTCCAACACGTTTCCAGCATAGACCCGTTAAGCCCAACTGGGGTCAATGTGACAATTGTTTGACCACCTGCGGCGAGCAGGGGTGTTGTTGCGTTAATGACTGTTCATACTTTGATCGGGGGTCAACTGCGCGAGTCAGAAGGCCTCCCGAGCAGGGTCTGAAAGACCGGCATACGAAGCAGACCAGCAAGTTTTCTGAAACCGCTCTTCCGATCGCCTTGAAACCTTCACCAATCGATTCCGTGCAATGAGGTGAGTCACGGGGAGGCAATACTGAGACCTGACCTGAGGTTAAACACCTTAAAGACGCGAACAGAAAATTTCGCATGCAAATGCAAACAACTCAGAGCTGTCTCAGAGGCTGGCCTTATGAGGCTGAATTTCTCCTTACTTAGATGTTACTTGTGGCAATACCATGCACAATCTTAGCGGATGCGAATAATATGAAATACTAGCGAATAATATAGCGAATAGCGACTAGCGAATAGCGAATAATTGGCGGATGATTTTCAGCACACCTCCGCAGACGTAATTATAATGCAAGCAGGAATTTTGGACTTTGAGAAATTTGACTTCTTTTGACCTGACCTAGGGTCACCAAAATTGGAACTGCAAGAGGGAATCAGGTATGGGGCATCCAATGGTGAAGGTTTGGCAGTGATCGGTTTGGTAGGTTCTGAGCTATAAGTTGCATGCAAGCAAGAATTTTGGACTTG